GCTCCGGGCGACCCGGCTGTGAGAGCTCCTGTCCACAGGCTCCTTCCCCTCTCCCTTGTCCTGTCATTCTGTGAGGGAAAGTTCCATGAGTGCAGGAAGGAATGGGMGGATTTGCCATCCTAAAGATGCCCAGTTTGGGCTCTGCTTTTCCCCCTTTCCCTTTTTAGACCTTCTTCCCTTTCGTGGCCAAGCAGCCACAGATCAGGGAATTGCACCAAACTGAATATTTGGCCCGTCCCTAGCCATATCTAATTTCTGGGATACGGCTTGAGAAAGAGAAGAGAAGCACAGGCTGAGGGAAAGCCTTCTCCCCTTTCATGAGGCTTCCCTTTAGCCCAGGCACCTCTCTGTCACCTTCCCAGTTTTCCCTGCCCTGGTTTCTGCTGTTCCCATCTGCTCTCAATTCCTTCCCCTTCTTGGCTGGATTTGGTGAGGTCTCCACTGCCCATTCCTCGAGCTCGTCTGGTTCATGGGGGCAGCTTTTACACTGCGGAGTCCTGCCAGCCTCGCTCCTTGCACAAAGGCAAGAGACAGGCAGAGCAATCTGTTGGAGGTGCAGTGATTACCACGGGTCTCTTGGGAAACAGCGAGAGGCATAGCCCAGGGATGGCGCTCCTCTCCTGCCAAAGCAGTTTGYGGCACATGCTCCAGCTGCAGCTCTTGTGCAGCTTGGCAAGTGGAGGAGCAGAATTGGCTGTGCCCCATCTTCCCTGTGCCCCACGTCCTGCTCAGCCACGAGGGCCCTGAGCCCTGCAGAGTGTTCACACACATCCGCACCTCGGGCAGTGCTGAGGCAGCTCTGGCAGCTCCAGCTCCCTCCCCGGGAGGCTGAGTAGSAGGCCCTGTGTGCAGTTCCTTGGCAGCTGCAAAGCACAGGGGCTCAGGAATACACCTGGTGCAGGTAGCTCAGGGTGCAGCTGCAGTGCCAGTGCCAGGCTGRGCTCTGGCTGGCAGGAGCCCGAGACAAGAGCCTCCTGCTGACCCTTGGCAGGACAAAGGACCTGGGGACCTGTGGCACAGCCAGGTCAGTGGACACTCAGAGATAGGGCAGGAATCCAGGGCTCAGGAGGAAGAGCTGAGGCTTCTGTGTGCTTGGACTGTGAAGGTGTGAAAGCCCAGGGGTTCAAGGTCCCTCCCTAGAGGCACCAGCTCRAGCTGTTTCTGTGTTCCAGCACTGTGAATAAATTGTTTAGTGGAATGAGACAAGRTGAGACTGCTATGGGAAACCTGGTCTGACTGTGAGAGTGGGGAGCGCCGRGAGTCAATGGGGGCACCTTCAGCTCACTTGAGCTGCCCACTGGGAAGGGGATTCAGTCCCAGCAGGAACAGTCTGGTGGGTGGAGTGTGACTACCAGAGTTGCCTGTGGGATGCTCAGACAGAGAAGTTTCCGTGACAACAGGGCTGCCTGAGAGCTGGAGCAGAGCCCAGGCCATGCACCTGCTGGGCTCTGCCTGTAAGGAACCAGGTAAGGAGCAGCAGWGTGCCYTGGGCAGGCAGAAAAGGAAAAGGAGTTAAACTCACGCCCCCAAGAAGGTCTAATCAGACCTCTGCAGTTTCATAATTTTGAAAACAAAGACTAGTTCAATCCTTGTAGTGCACTGGGGTCACAGTAAGGATTCTGGGAACGATCCAGTAGCTCCACGTTCGCTGGTATAGACTGTGCTGTTGTGAGCATGGGGATGTCCCTGCAGGGAAATGCACTGAAGGTGACAGAGCAGAACTGCAGGAGCTCAGTGAGGGTGGGAATAAGGAGGCTGCTKCCCAAAGTCCTGGCAGGGGCTGATGGGCAGAGGGAACAAAATAATGCAGTGCTGCCTGCCTCCATCCTCACAGCCCCTCTGGTTACACAGCATGCCCCAAATGAATTATGGGTTTGCCATTCCCATCCAGGACAGGGCGTGAAAAAAAAATAGAAAGAAAAAAAAAAAAAAAATCAGAACAGAATCCAGAATGATCTGGGCTGGAGCAGCAGAGGGAAGATCTTCTGGCTGCTTGTACTTTCCGGTGCTGACCTGACGGACAAGAGGCTCCAAGGGGCCATGCTGCTCAGGGGCAGAGCTGGCTGCCTGCAGCAAACAAGACCCTTCCTGCATGCAGCCGGGGAACAGGAGGGAGCTGTGGTTTGGCCTGGCAGGAGGGAAGGGCTCTTGTAGCCTGCAAGAGACGGGGCTGGCTGTGCAGGTGTTGGGATAAGTCCTGTTGATCCTGATGTGCTGGAAATGTCCAGGGAAATAGGGTGCAATGGGAAGAAAAACTGGTGAAGTTCGTGGCTGAGCTTGATCCGCCGCCCACTACCTTTGCTACATAGCTGTTCATCTGGGAAGGCCTTTCACAAGCTCGAGCTAATAAATTTCTGCACAAAACAGCCCTCATAGCCTGAGGAATGTCCCCGCTGACTGCCGCTCCTGCTGTCCTGCCGTCGGCTACCTATAGCTGGCATCACTTTCCCTCCGGAGATAGTCAAAAGATCAAATACCGAAGAAACTTTCTTAAGAAAATTTTGCATACTCCACGCCTTGCAACACGCCGGCCGGTCAGAGCGAGCCGCGGTCACGCTCCCCGCAGCGCAGCCCCGACCCGACCGGCAGAGGAAGCGACGGATTCCGCTGCCCGCCTTCCCTTTCCCTTTCCCCTTCCCCGCTTCCCCCCTTCCCCTTCCGGGCAGCCGCGCAGCCGCAGCCGCGGCGCCGGGGCCGGAGCGCTCCGAGCCCTGCCGGTGCCGAGCCGGGCTCGGGCCCC